TGGGGCGGGGCGCGGCGGGGCACGGCAAGGCGCGCAGTGGCCCGGACGTCTGCCCGTGGTCAGGCCCCAGCCCTCACCTCCTCCAGGTCCATGTCCTCCGGGCTGCCCAGCGGGGTCAGAAACTGGCCACCACGAGACTTGCGCAGTGGCACCATCACGATGAAGTAGCTCCTGTTGGGAGGAGTTAGAGGGGAACCGTCCGTCGTCGTGAGCGAGCCATGCTGTCCGGGAGCGCGTGGGGAGTCCCCGCACTGAGCCTTCTCTTCTGCCCACAATGGTGGGCCTTTCCCCTGCAGCCCCAGCCCTACATAAACCTACAGGCCTTGGATGACAGGCCTTCTGCCCATGAAGCCTACCCCATGCAATTATAGCCCTTGAACCCCTACACAGCCTTCAAAGCCCCCACTTCCACGCCCACACATTTTTGGAGCCCTTAATTTTCCTCTGCCTCCCAAGCAAAGTCTCCTCCCCGCTGGGGACTCTGGTGCCTCTTACTGCCACATCAAGGGGCCAAGCTTCTGTGTTTAGGTTTTTCCCCATCGGTCTGGGAACCCCAAATCAGTAGATGACCAACTAACTATACAGGGATGTCAGGAAATGCTGGAGGAGCAGACACAAGACCACGTGTCGTGACAACGCCCATGAGGAGCACGGGACACGTGACATGAGGCTCATGTAACCCCCGCTTTATATGCAGGTGAGCAAACGCAGGCACTAGAAGGTGCAGCGGGTGGCCCCGGTCCCACGGCTGGCTGCGGGGTGTGGGGGGTCCCAGGGGTGGGGGTCGAGCATACTGGACGGGCACGGGGCTCTGGCCGTCAGGCAGGTAGACCAAGATGAAGCCGTCAGTGTCGGGCTTGGGGGCCACGCTGGGCTTGCCGCTGAGCAGGTTGAAGGCGGTCCAGGCAGTGACAGTCTGCTGGAGGCCACCCAGGCTGCTGCCGCGGTTGGTCAGCACGAAGTTGTAGAAGGTGTTGGGCTTGAGGTGCGTGATGAGCTTCTTGGTGGTTCGGCCGTCTACGTCCAGTGTGAGCCCGTTGTACTGGATCTGCGGGCCAAGTCCAGCTCAGTGTGGCTCTGCGCCCAGCCCCCGCCCCGACCGAGTCGCGATCCAGACTCGGCCTTGACCCCGCCCAACTGACCCAGGCTGAGCTCTGACCCCAGGCTAAGCCCCAACTCTTGGGTCCCAACTCTGAGCTCTAATCCTAAAACTGGGCCCCAACTTCTGACAGAGCCTCAATCCTAGCTGAGCCCCGGCTCTGAGTCCCAACTCAGTCTGACTGAGCCCTAGTCCCAGAAGAAGCTCCCATCCCAGACTTAGCCTGTTTAGACTGAGCTTAGACTGAGCCCCGATCCCAGGTGAAGTCTCGAGCCCAGACTGAGCCTCTATCCCAGCTGAGCCCCAGCTCTGCATCCCAATCCTGTCTGAGCCCTAATCCCAAACCGAGCCAGAACCCAGACTGAGTCTCGACTCCCAGTGAAGCCTGCTCCCACCCAGCCCAAGCATAGCCAAAGCCCACCCCCCACCCCGCGACAAGCCTCGACTCCGGGCCGAGCCCCAGTGTCACCCCGGCCTGCTGGCCCGCCGGCCGCCCTGGGGCCGCACCTTGTAGGGCGTGGGAGAGTCGTAGTTGTCGGGGAACTCCCAGCTGAGCAGGACCGAGGTCTTCATGATCATCTTCACCTTGAAGTTCTTAGGCGAGACTGTGCGGGCAGCGGCCGAGCGGGAGAGAGCAGAAGAGAAGCCGGGTGAGCGCGGCGGGCGGGGCGGGCAGGTGGGGTGGGACGGGGCGGCCCAGGCGCTCCCTGTCGTCTGCTGTGCCTACGGCCTTCCTGCCTGGCCCTGGCCCTGGCCCGGCCCTGCCTGGCCCTGTCCCAAGTCCCTGCTGGGGGAGACGGCGCGGCTGCAGAGAGAAGGCGGAGGAGGAGGGGTGGGAGACGGCGGTGCCACCGAGGCATGTCCCACCTTTGCCAACGCCAGAGCCTGGGGGTCCGGACTCGCCTCGAGCGTCCATGAGGAAGCAGAAAAGTGAGCAC